CCTTATCTACTTAAATTCATGGCCAAGGCTCTACTTACTAGTACCCCTTCCTTTAAGTGTATAGAGTTCGTATCCAAGGAATAAACATTTTTTTTTCTCTTCTCTTTATTTCATTTATTTATTTTTCTCTGAGTCTTTTACTTTTATTTAATTATGTATATTGAGAATTTGTTTTATTTATCTGTATATAATTTTGTAAATAGTTTTTAAGAAGTAATTTTGTAGATTTTTATTTTAGTGTTATAACAATAATAGACTTATTTTATTTTTTTCTCATTATGGAGCCCGACAATACGTCTGGTGAAGAATCAGAGGAAGATTCCCCATTTTCCGAAATCAGTGAGACCATTCACAATATTTAAAAAGAAGGATTCTTCAAAAGGGCCATCGAAACTCTGCCCCGGATCGGTGGGCAACTCACCAAATAAAAAATAAATAAATCGGCCACACAAAAAAAGCCACTTGAAAAAAAAAAGTTATACCAAATATTCGCAGCAAAACCACATTAGCCATCACACCAGAATCAATTTCATCAACCACCTCAATCAGTAACGCTGTTACCGCCAACAGTCCATCAAATTATATTCTAGTGCTGAAAGCCAAAATTTCTGATCCTGAACCGCCACCCATTTTCGTTGCAAAAATTGAAAATTTTATGTATTTTGGACAAGAAATCGCTGATTTGATAAGATAGACAAATTTTACATTTTTTTCCACAGTTAATGATATTAAAATAAATACCAACTCTAAAGAAAATTATAATAAATTAATTGAACATTTCACTTCTAGAAAATACGATTTTCACTGTTAACACCTAAAAAAGTATATAAAGTCGTCTTAAGATGCCTTCATTCAACTACTTCCACTGGTGTGATAAAAATAGGATTGGAAGAAATAGGTCATAGTATCAGAAACATTTCATACAATATACCCACTACCACTGTTTTTCATAGATCTTGAGCCTGCAAAAAATAACACTGAAATATTTCATGTAAAATGACTTTTATACTCAACCCCTGACAAAAACTTATAGTAGTCCGTCCAATGCACTTACTGTCAAAACCTAGGACACACAAAAGCCTACTGCCATCAACAGGCCAGATGTGTTAAATGTGCTGGTCTACATCCGTCTGACATTTGTGAGAAACCAAGGCAAGAGGCTGCGATATGTGCACTTTGTGGCGAGGGACACCCAGCGAGCTATAGAGGTTGTATAGTGTATAAAAATTGTCTCAAGCTGAGATCCCATAATATAGCGTTAAAAAGTCTGAGCCTTGATCAAAAAATTGGCACGGAGGCAACTGAAATTGAAGATAGAAAAAATTTCACAGCACTGCCGACATCACCTTCTCAAATCATCCAGCAACAACCATCCATCTTGACCACTACGGACTATCCTCAACAGGATTCAAGTTATTTCTATTCCCAATCTATCACAAAAAACCATCAGTCTCGATAACAGGCACCTCAGGCTTCCCAATCTAAGCCTAAAACCACTAAAGCTCAGCCTCAACCTCCTCGGGAGCAAATCCCTCATCTACCTTCAAGGGTCAAACTCCCGCCAGAGCATCCACACCCAGTTCCATCCGTTCCTAATCCCAAGATAAACCCCCCATCAAAAATCTAACACCTCATACCACACGTCGGGCACATCCCCTTCCCATGTGGGATTTCACATAAATTACCCATCACATCCTCCTGACCCAAATCCACTTCAAAGCCAAAAACCATCCGACATCAATTCTATCCTTTCTACGTTCCTGATATATCTTCAAGAGACTATCAAACCGCTCATTACCCTCCTCACTAGACTCCTTTCCGAAATCTCGTTCAACCTCCCTCGATGAACACAAAGCCCCTAGCTATCCTTTTATGGAATGCTAATTGACTATTTAACTACCAAGACGAACTAAACATATTTCTCCATAAAAATCACATTGATATTGCCCTTCTGACGGAAACTCACTTCACTCAACGGACGCATTTCTACATACTTGACTACATTACTTACAGATCTGACCACCCAGACAACACTTCCCATGCCGGTTCCTGCATCCTTGTACACAAATCTCTACCCCATTCCCTTGTTCCTTCCACTCCAACTGATGCAATTAAATCAACTTCTGTAGTCCTTTCAACTCATCCTTTCCATCTCACATTCCCAGCTGTATACTGTCCTGGTAATTCCTCCCTCTCCTATAACCTCCTTGAATCCTTATTCCAATCCCTCGGATCATGCTTTATTGCTGGAGGAGACTAAAATGCTAAATACCAACGATGGGATTGTCAAACATCCAACTCCCGCGGTAACATTCTATCACGTGTCTCATCTTCCAACAGTTATTCAGTCCTCTCACCCATGAATTCTACTTATTGGCCAATATCCCTCAAAAAATGTCCCGATATTCTGGGTATATTTTTCACCTCCCAGATTTCCCCCTTCCAAATTATAATCAAATCCCTTCATGACTGAACTGCTTTCACTACATTCAAACTATGCTCCTAAACCATTACCTCCTAAATTGATTATAGGATGAGTAAATTGAGACAAATTTTGTGATTATTTAGAAAACAAACTAGACTTAAAAATTCCTCTGAAGACATTAATGGTGCCATAAAAAAACTTACATCAATAACAGACAGTATAAATAATAAGATTAATAAGTTACAAGATCGAAGTGGCATAGAACTAGATATCCAACAGATAAAACTCATTACACTCATACATGACTAACAAATTAAAAAATACAAGATTCAAAATTTACTGAAACTTACACCTATCGACAAACCACTATAGACGACCACTAAAAGACTTTTAAAATTTAAAGACTGTAATCATCCACTTCTTACCGAAGCTCAAACCTGGTCCAAATCCGACAAAGAAAATCTCAAATTTTTGCTTATCATCTCTTCAAAACATTTAATCCACATCCTGACATCCTTAATCCAAATTACCTTGAATGTATTGATGCAGAACTGGACATTCCACTCCAAATGGCTCTTCCACCTAAAGCCTTTCATCCTTCAGAAATATCCAATATTATTAACAGATTACCCTCCCTCAAAGCTCCTGGCAACGACCTAATCACATCCCATATCCTTAAATTACTTCCTCGAAAAGCAATCCTATTCCATACCTACATATATAATGCCATACTCCACTCTAACCTTTTTTCCTGATCCTTAGAAACTATCTATTGTCAAAATGATACATAAAGTCACCAGAATTCTCATCCTCATATCGTCCTATCTCTCTTTTACCCATGATTGGAAAAGATTATCTTAAAACGCCATCCTGGATTCTAATGACATAATCCCTGATCACCAATTTGGATTCCACACATCCCATTCCATTATCCAGCAATGCCATCGTGTGGTAGACTTCCTCTTGTTTCTAACCTTGCTTCCTCTTCGATTCCTGATAATCCTCCGAGGCATCTGAAAAGAAGAAGGCCACGTGATCTTCTTTTGTGGACATATTATTGGAGTGCTACCAGTGGGTAGTTTCTCAACAAGCGTTTTCATATGATTATATTTCTGTGTACACATTTACTTGATGTATTAATATTGATACAGTTGTAAATATCATAAATACAAAATAAATAAAATAATAATGTAGAGATGGTTGACCGTTGATATGATATGAGAAGGAGTTAGTTGAGGGTGCGGTCAAATAGATAAAAAAATTAAAAAATATAAATAATTTTAATTTTTGCCGACGTTTCGACCCACTTTGCAGGTCGTCTTCAGGGCGTAATTTGTGGTACTGCGGGAGGCAGTTGAAACACTGGCCAGTGTTTCAACTGCCTCCCGCAGTACCACAAATTACGCCCTGAAGACGACCTGCAAAGTGGGTCGAAACGTCGGCAAAAATTAAAATTATTTATATTTTTTAATTTTTTTTATTTATTTGACCGCACCCTCAACTAACTCCTTCTCATATCAAATAAAATAATAAAAATGAAAAATAACGATTTTTCATGTAAGGTGGTTATGGAATTATGTTTTTCTGCCAGATTTCTTTCATACAAATTAATAAGTGACAAACTTAATGTTTCTATCCCTAATATTTAGGTTTTCATGAAAATAATGGAATCAATTATTAGGTTTCTTTATTTGAAACATAAATTTCAGTGAGAAACATTAATTTTATTACTGATAAATACAGATCAATTTTTATGAGGGATATCTTAGAGAAAAAACACAATTTCATAATCACTTTACCTGAAAAATATTTAATAAATCATTATTTTTTATATTTATAAATAAAATATTTTTTAAGGCAGTTAGTTTTATTACAATACATCCCATATCATGGAAAAACAAGAAATAAAAGCTTTGCAACTGTTAACCATAGTCATTCTAGCAGAAAACATTGGCACTTTAAGGTGACTGGATAGGAAATCACATCATTTTTTTATAAACTTGAGGTGAATCTCCAAAATTTTTTTAATAAAGCTCAACTCAATTAATATGAACTTAAAGCTTATTAAACAAGGAGGTTTTTATCAAAGTGGGGTAAATGTAGTACAGTTGAAGGGTGATAAAAAAAAAAAAATCACAAATAATTTATGACTTTTTTAAAATGGAACTTAACTGTGTTTTTCCGCTCAACAGTTCTATTTAAAAAGTTTTAGCAACGATAAATTCTACTTCTATTAAAAGTAAGTTTTGTGTAGTATGATATGAGCAATGTTTAATTACTTTAATCAAATATTTTTTATGTTATTGCTTCCTATTCAACAAAAAAACATGTCTCACTTAAAAAAACGCAAATATTAAATTTCCTGCTTTTCTCTTATGAATTGAGCATTTGTTTAGATGAACTTTTTAGTAGATTCTGATGTCTACTATCTTCCTTTTAAATATTTCCCTCTACTTACGAGACACCCTGTGTATTCTGCATTCTACTGTATTAAAATTTAATGCTTTTAAGTAGTATATTATATATATTCAATCACATAATTTGTAATATATATTTTTCTTCTTTCACATTTCAGGCAGTGATTACAAGGATCATGTTAGTCAAATGGCTCCAGCTGTTTCAGAATTGTCAAAATTAGAAAGTAAAGCTCAGCTTACTTATCTGAAAAGACACTTCTTAAAATCTGCTGCTTAGATTTCTTCTTTGGGAAAATTAATATTTATAAAATGTTAAAAGTTACTTTTTTGTAACAATAAATAATGCAATTTATAACAATATTTTTTATTGAGCTAATACATAATGGTAACTGGCTTCCATTGACTGATACAGGCATGTATAATTAATAAATAGCTAAGCTTAGTGATCTGTTGATTTCATAATTATATATAATGTTTTTACACATTCATCAAGTTTACCACTAAATTTTTAAAACCAAAAATATCCTTTATTATAATAAAATTTAATTATGAAATAAAAAAACATTTGGCTACTAAAATTCGTATCGAATTATTGCTTTCAATATATTTATGCTAGAAATAGAGCTATATAAAATTCACTTTAAATAATTAGCATCTCTTGTTAGAATGTTTTGGATAATTTCAATACAGGATCTCAATTAAATGTTAAGAACTATATATAATATATATATATATATATATTTTTTTTTTTTTTTTAAAGAAAAACACTAATTTATGAAACAGATTTTGAAAAGAAATGATGATAAATTCCATTATATATGCTTTTGGATGGATTAAAAGCATATCAATTCATCTTGAAAACTTATTTTTTTCTATCAGTTTTCAAGAAATACAAATACAAAGGCTTTTTTTCAAGTCATGTCTATCTTTAGAAAAAGAGCTGTAATTTAATCCCTTAATATTCGTGAGTTATGTTCCAGGAAAATCTCGAATGCTGTCCATCTTTCTAAGGATAACATTTTATGAGCAACAAAGACAAAAAACAGATTTAGTTTTTATTATTTTTAATAACAGCATGTACATAATTTACAAATGAATAAATAAAATAAACCTGTACCACTACAACCTATAAAGGGTCTTGGGTTCAGTAATATTTAGGGAAAGCACTGTTTCTAGGTTAACAGTTGAGCAAGGGGATGATGCAGAGTCACACAACGGTTAATGAAACAGAATAAATAATTTTTCTGCCATGAGTCCAGATTCGTACCTGGGACCTGAACATTGGACGTTCAGCGCCCTACCACTGAGCTACCCCACTCCCTACATATAAATAAAAATAAACATATTTTTAATTTAAATTTTTTCTTGTAATTGTAAAAAATGTGTTATCTATGATTGTTGGGCTAGTTATGTTTGTATCTTTTGAAGTGCACAACATAGGATGTCATCCAGCTCTTAATACTCCCTTTAGCAAGAGAAAGATCATATTCTACAGAATTTTGAATGATTTGTTACTGAAGAGTTAGAAATAGGTCTTACAGATATTAGATGCGGAAGGACCTTGAATTTTTTTTGTTTAAAGTGTCTTATATATCTTTATATTTCTTATTAAATTAGTTTTGTTCTGACTGACGGAAAATGTCTTAATCGTTTACAACAAAGAAACAAAATAAAACTTTTCCTTTCAATGAAATTTCATTCAATACATTTTACAAGTGGAAATATGCCTCATTAGTAAAAATATATATTCAGTATGTATATACATACTATGCTTTAAATTGCTTAAGCTTGTGATTTTTATTCCATGAATATTCTAATACTCAATTCACGGATGTCAAATTCTTTGGATTTTAAAAACAGTATTAGCGCATAATCAAATTTGTGGTTGCCAAACCCACTAATTTTAAGAGATTATTATATCAATAATCCTAGGTCTGTATATATACTGACTAATACACTCCTAAGGAATTATTAGTGAGTTTTTAAGTTGATATCAACTTTCATCAGAATCAGCTCAGTTATTCTAAACAGCTGATGGCTCTTTCTTCTATAAGAACTGGCTAATATACCATTGAGATATTGTTCAAAAATTGTCTCTAACTATTATAATGATTTATAACTAAATAACTGTACTCTCTTTATAAAGGGTATAAAAAATTGTATATTCTAAAGTTTTACAATTCCACTAAGTAAAATATATACATATACTTACAGTTATAGAGATCTACTAATGACTATAATGGTCTTTTAAAATAACATTTTCAAAACAGTTAATAAACAAAGCAGTAGTAGCAAGTGTAAAAAAACATAACTTCTTAATGAACCTTGACTGCTTAATTTATGGCTGTTTGATTACAGTAGTTTAAAAAAAGTATGTACATTAATTTTTACTATTATTAGAAGATTTAATATTACATACTATCAACTGAGTCAAAAGTGGAACCCTATAACATCTTAGCTCAGATACACTTTGAATTGATACTATGTGTTTCTACTCATTAACTATGTTTTAAAGAAAGACTATTTCTAAAATATATGATCATTTGTAACTCCCTCTAAAAACTGGATTATCCCTATCTTCATTCAAAGGTAAGCGAAATTTAGAAAACTTGGCTAGCCACTGCTTATGTTTGTTAGCATAGAACATTTGTCTAGGTTCTCTTTCATCAGAACATTTTGCTAGAAACATGTCTTCATATATACTTAGAATTAAAGAAAACTCACTTCCTACACTATGTTTCCCAATCTTTGGAGTCTTTTCAGGAGGTGTACCATCAGCAGGATTGGATGTATCAAGGCGACCCCAATATTTTGGACAGTTTGAATCTAATAATAACCTTTTTATTTCATGAAATATGAACCTACGATGGCACCAGAGGGCTTCATGTCCAACAAAATTCCAAATTAAATCTGAGTTAAGTGAGAGTTCGTAAACAAATATCTTCAATGTAAGAGGAATGGTCTGAGCCGTCAATTCATATGTTTTGAAGTTGTGAAGAAATCCTTCAGTGGCTTCGTCAACACTGAATAATATTAACTTGATAACTTCCTGATCATATGACCTACTATCAATGTAAGATAAAAGGAATGTTATTAACTTCTGCCTGTAATGGAATCCACTATAATCAGAAACATGTCTTTGGACCCATTTCATGGAAGCAGCCCATTCTCTTTGTAATGAATTTGGCAAAGACTGTGTCAAACACCAAATGCGATGAGTCCAAGCATGGTAGTTATTTGAGTAACGATCTGCAGCAGCTTCGCAAATTTGGATTTCATTTTCAAATAAATTTTCATTATTTCTAGAACCTAAAAACAAAATGAATATAAAAAATTGTATACAAATATACATACATACACACACCAAGTTGCAATTATCTTACTCTGGACTAAATACTTAAGTATCCATTTCCGAAAAGCATACAAATCAGCACATTTTGGTTTGAATGTCAATATAACAGATGTAAAATGTAAATCAAAATATGGATCTAATTTTCCACTTCTAATAAGTTCCTTCCTCATATTCCAAAATGTTGTTATGTCCGGGTTCAGTAGCAAGGCACCCATTAGCAAGGTGTTGCATTTTTCAGCATCTAAAATAAAACTTAAATATAAACAAAAATAATGTTGCTCTCTGCTATGAATATAATTAAGAACAATACAAATTTAATAGCACACTTTTTTCTCATTACATTTTTTTTTTCTTCTGAAAAGCAAAATAAAATGATATCTGATCAAGATAATTAACACAACAAAATACATTGTAACATAATTAAAATTACATATAATGAAACAAAGAATATAATAATATATATATATAAATAAAATGATATATACGGTAAATATCTTTTTTTTTAGAGTGTATGGTGATATTTGAAAATATGTTAACAAACCAACTGAATATGTTACATAGTTTTATTTGTATATGAAGATTTGAGTCAGTGAGATGAACTCACCCCCTCATATTTGCTGCCAGCAATGTAATATAATATTCACATAAAAATTAAAGAGTGTTCATGAATTAATCATAAAATCTCTGGATACGTTGCTAAATATAATTATGTTTGAATATTAATCAAATTTCTATAATAGAACACAGGGCATGGTAGAATACTTATGCATGTACTAGGCATTAGATTAGTCATCTAGTAGACTTTTCCAATTTTCTTAATTGACTTTAGTTAACATAATTAAGATCTTCCTAAGACCTTAACATATTCTTAATTATAATGTATGTTTAATAAAATTAAATGTTGATGTATACATGTATACATAGTATTCGTATTTATATTGTTGAATATAAATGTGCCCATCTCTGCTCAAGACCCTTAATGGGTTGCAGTGGTACAAGTTTTTCTTTATTTTAAAGCCTTATATAAATTACTAGCAGGTGGGTCTTATAAAATGTCAGAAATTTGTGATAATATATCAGAATTAATTTAACTTAAGACTGTCAAATTTTGTTTAGTCACATGCTATTTTTTTCCATTCTAAATTGACCCTCTCATTGAATAAACCAAATTTTGAGATCAGGCTTCCCAAAAGACGGAATACCGTCTTAATAAAATATTAAGAGATAAATCGGACCTCTGGTGGTGATGTTGAAGTTGCTGCAATATTTTCGTTTGAGTCTTCATCATTGACTTGAGACATATTTTGGGATCACCAAAGTAGTTAATTAACTAAGAATAAAATTCTTTTTAACTACTTTATTAGAACACACACAAAGAAATTATAACAGCAAAATTAACTCTGAAGAAACAAACTAAAACATGTATTAGAATTATTAAGTGAGGTTATAATGGTTTATAAATATTTATAAAACAAATGTGTCTGCTTCTGGGCAATAACAGAAAAACAACAACATTTATTAATGTTGCAGTACAATTTTAAGGTTTAAAATTGTCATTTGTTTCTTCTCCATGGAATGCCCTTTCTTTTGATATTATGTAAAACATCTATACACATGACATGCTTATCAAGTACAATTTCTAATAACTCTTAAAAGAATAGTCAGTTTTGTATAACATTGGAGAGGTAAATATATTTAACGGGATCAATCATGATATCAAATTAAATGGGTAATAATATCAACCCTAAGCTGTTACCATTAAAAGGGATGTTTAAACATTGTAAATGAAAAAGAATGAAAAATACCTCTAAGTTTTCCTTTTATTTGTCTATGATTCATCAAATTCTTGTAGGCATAACAGTAAATATGAGGCACACACCAGGATTCTAAAGCTAAACAATGCTCCTCAACATGTATTGGTGACTTATTCTCGATTTGCACTACAGGCAGTATTTCAAAACTTTTCCTAAAACGACGAAAAATATATAAGATGATTGAAGTGTTTTTAGTTAAGAAATACCAGTAATGATCATTTACAATTTAGGATCCTTTGAAAATAAATTGTATAAATCGCTCAAAATTTTTTCGGCAGCAGCGTAAAATTCTTCTTGCATTTTGAATATTTAAGTTGACGTTTATAAAGTTTCTGAAGCTCCGCAACTTTATTTGACCTCTATAATATTGAACAATCACATTATTTACTTCCCAGTATCAGCACTTGGAAACAAGTGGAAAGGTTATACTGAAACTAAACAAATGGCCTGAGCCTTTTGAATATAAATGACAAATGATTATGAATGTTGTTGAACTTTTGGCATTCTTCACTAACAAAATATTGTTTATTGTCAGGGAGAAATAAAATCAATTGGGTTGAATGAAACTTTCGTTGTAAAAAGTCAGGTCAACGGGAGACACTCGGTCTTCAGTACGATACCAGAAGCCGGTTTGAAGTGAACATTCAACAGAAGTTCATTAAGTTTGGGCCAGGATAGTTAGTTTCAAACGTTGAATTATATCTATTACTCTATGAAATTAATATTTAATCCTGCAAACATAAGACTTTTTATTATCTTACCTTCGTTTATTTTTGAAATAATTGGTGTTCTGTAGGATAATGTCGGATCCAAGGATTAGAACACTGAAAATTAAAACAGGTGTTGTCAAAAGATTGACCAAAGAAAAGCTTATTTACGAAAAAGAGGCAGAACAGCAGCGTGATAGAGTAAATAAATTCAAACAAGAAGGTAGGAATAACATTTACATGCTCTAATTACTCCCCATCTCTGCTTTTACTCTTTTTTATTGTTTATTTAGATCTTGTTTTTATACATATTATCTTGTTTTTGTTCAAAGAATATTATATTTTTCAATATGTTCTTTTTTTGGTATTATGAAATAAGCTTTAGCTGTATCTTTTAGTAATAACATCATTCTCCAGGCATAAAGTGCTGCTAATAATGCATACGTTTTTGGAAATTATATCAGTAATATTTAATTATCAAATCAAGTTATTTAAGTATTCACTATGTGTAATAGTTTGGTATCAGCTAAAGTATTTTTAATTTTTGCAAAATGTAATTCTGGATTCAAAAGTTGACCTAAAAATTCTTTATCTTATCTTAAATAAATAAATCCTGAATGTGTTATTTTCAATTAATTAACAGATGAGACGAAGAAATCTCTTACATTGATTCTTGTTCATGATAAACATGCGTAATATTATTTTATTTTGTTTTTTGTATTTTTAATTACTCTTATTATTAATTATTTTTTTAAGGTCGAGATGAAGCTGATATCAGGAAACAGGAAGAGGTATTAGCAGAAGCTTTCTCAATGATTCCTGATTGCCAGCGAAGGTTATCAAAAGCATATCTAGAGCTTCAGAGTATTTTAGAATCTGAAGAAGATTTAAAAGAGACTGAAGAATATATATTGGCCTCACAAATCCTTGGAGAAGCTACATCTGAACTACCCTCTTATACACTAACCTAATATAAAACATTCACCAACTTTTTATAAGCATAATTTTTATTTTTATATTACACATTATATGTTTTGCTTTTAACTTTCATAAAATTAATATTTTTTAACTGCTACTATGGCTTTTTGGCATAACTTTAACTTAGCTTCGCAGCAAATGGTTACTGATAACAACAATCACATAACATATTCCGCATTGCTCCCACCTCTTCCACCTAGGCTGCCTGTAATGAACGTACCTCCTATTAATGTTCCACCGCCACCTCTTCCTCCTCCATTAAATATGGGTTTCCATTGCCAACCTTTTTCTATTCCTCCGCCAATTAACACCAGTGTGCCTCCCCCTAATATTTTGTACCCTCCAGTTCCTGGAGTTTTAGTTGGAATCAGTGATAGTAGTGAAGAGAATTTAATTGAAGATGATTTTGAAAGATTAAAGGATAAACTGAACAGAACTTATGGCCAAGTTTCTTTACCGAGTAAAGGACTTTCCAAGTTGATGGTAAGATATTTTCATAATATAAAGCGACTTGGACATGATCAAGTGTTGCTATGTAATGATTTTATAATATCAATTTCAAAGTAATAGAGCCGAATATTGATGAAAACAAAGATGTTGACTACTAATGTCAACATCTTTGTTTTGAATTGAATGCATGTGAGAAACTTTCATTATTATTGTCTGTCAAAATTAGAGTTAAGTTATTATCATGGTAATTTTCAAACCATCCAAAATCTTATCAATAACTTCTTATGGAATACTCAACTAAGCTAAGCCTACTTTTTGTTTCTTGAGTAGGAATTTTTCTATGATAGAACTTATTATTAGTTTAATTTATCACATCTCAAATTATTAGTTTAATTTTTTTTTTTTTTTGCATGTTAGGCCTGCTAAAAATTATTACTAAATAAATATCTAATTTAATAAGATGAACTGTCTTGGCCTATATTAATATTCATAGTAAAACTATTTTAACAGATAATAGGTTATTAATTTATTAAAAACCGGAAAAGTTGGAACTGGTGTGATTATTTCATGGGTATTAAAGTGTTTTGATCATGAGCAGGTCACTTAAGAGTTAATGAAATCATAGAAATCATTAAAAAATTATTTTTATTAGCATTTCAAACAAATGACTCAAAAGAATCATGTGTAATCAATTTACAACAAATTTTAACTCTAATCTGAGCCTAATTTCAATAAATAAAAGTTAAACTTTTACTGTAAATCTAGAACCTTAATAAAAAAAAAGTTTCAACTCTTGCTTTGACTATTAAATATGTAATTTGATTATTTTTCAAATTAGTTGTCTTAATATGTATATTTTCCTCATTATACCTTTTCTGGTTCATAAATACCTGTAACTTATAAAAATAGTATGTGTCTCAATAGAACACTTAATAAATACATTTTTTTTATAGGTTTATGTACCTACTAGATTTTTTCTATTAAGCCTACACCTTAATGGACACCTCTCTGTATCAGACAAAACCATTCAACCCAGTTTCATCCGGTGCGGAGAGGTTTCACTGTTTTAATTTCTAAATATTTGTCAGTCTTCTTAATTTAATTAAATTTGTTTTGTGCGTTGAAATCCTAAAAGTTATTAAAAAATTAAAGTTTATTTGATTTTTTTCCTTTTATGTATTATTAATGTTACTGTATCCAGTTGTTATTTATAATTTTATGTTTCCATGTGAAAAAAAAACCAACATAATGTTTATTATTGTCTAATATAGTTTTATATGGACAGCCTACAAGAACTTGTAAATACAATTTTATTACAAAATGTAGCTTTGAGCTTTTTTGGTCAATCTTTGCCTTCCACTTATTCAAAAACTCAAACCAAAAATGTTATTTAAAACTTTACATCTTTGTCTTAAGCATGCAGTATAAATTAAATGAAAAATCTGGTTTATAATACAAGAAATATATGATTTATCTCATCTTACAAATAATTATAATTTTTGTACTAACAGGCTTTTGATATGCTACTTTTAATTTGTCATTTGTATAATCAATATACCTAATTAATCATGGTTGCCATTAATAACTTTTGAAATTTCCAGATTTCTACTTTGAAACAAAATCTGATTAGATGGTTTCATCTTTTGAGGAAACTTGAAGGTCAAACTAACTGTCTCCAAATCACTTTCAAATCTTTACCAGAAGAAGAATGGATTCGTAGGTGTAAGGAAATAGAAAATATCAAAGTAAATCAAATATTTCTTACAATCTAATGCTATGTAAATATTTTGGCTAATTTTTTTTATTGTCAATGCTTTTATTAATAGCATTCATCAATAATATTTCTATAGGTAGAATTATCTGCGATAATGACATCTTTAGATAATCCAGAAAGTTTAAAAGAAATGCTCAAAATAGTTAATCTACGGAGAAAGAAATTGAAGTATAAGAAGAAGAGAAGAAAAGAATGGCAAGAGCAGAAAAAAGAAGCAAAATTGAATGCAGAACGTGAGCACAGAAGAATAGATCTGTGGCTTGAAAAAATGAAATGGGAGGTTTCAAAAGTTAAGAGGGTAATAAAAAAGTATCCATCTACATAAATATAATCTATATATCATTAAATATCTATTTATAATTATCTAGTTTAATATCTATTTAACTATCTTATCGATCTATTACAATAATAATTGAAACAGGTGGCCCCTGCAAGTTAACATTAATATCTGTATCATTGTAAAAAGTTTTTATCATTATGTGCAATATGTTTCTTTGCAAAATATTTAAAAAGCAGATATTAAAAAAATAAAAGCAAAATATTATAAAGATATAAGCCTCTTCAGATATGAATTTTATTTTAAACTTATTGAAAACAAGGATAGAGATGGGAATGTGATCATTGTTTACTTTTTTTAACTTTGAAAAGGTGATGTATTTTTATTATGCAAACAAAAGCTATTCCTAATATTTCCAGTAGTAATCTGTTCTCAACTCTTAGAACAGGGTTGCTACCAGACAGTTAAACTAAAATTCCCTGACTTTTCCCTATTTAATGATAGTTTTCCCTGACCAATATGTCTGGGGGCACAAATATAAAAAATGTATAACTAAATTTATTTATTATACATGAAAGAAAATTGACTACAAAATGATTGGAGTAAAAAATAAATAAATCAGTCTTTTAAATAAGAAATATAATATTTTAGAGGAAGCGTTTTTTAAGCTTGATTAGGATTTTTTATTTTATAAAACTAAACTTTTAATGATTTATTGTCATTGCTTTTATTTTATTTTCATAAACTAAGAGCAGGTAAAAGTTGATACTTGATATATAATTCTATGAATTTCTTTATTATAAAATAAAGTTAGCTATGGGAGATTCTAACATTAATTTAGTTTCTCATAAGTAATTTAGTTTCTTTATTACTAAAACAGCATAATAATTGCCTATATGACACCAACTGTGACATTTATGGTCAATAAATGCTCTGTTAAGGACCATGGGTCGAACTAATGAGTGCTTGCCAAACAGATCTTGACCAAGATATGTATATATATTACAAATAGTAAATAGTATTAGTATGTTTTTCTCTTCAAACAATCACTGATTTTATTCCATTTTGCTTAAACTTTATTCATTAACCTTTTTTGATTTCAATATATCGACCACTGCTGTTATTGACAGTCAAAGGTTGATGAATATAGTAACCGTGGTCGTTTATAACAATTAAGTTTACCCCTTCAAGATCATTGATCATAAACGATATCAATTGTATATTTATTTCCAATTTGAAAAAAATATTTATGTACAAAGAAATTCCCTTATTTTTCCAGGTGTAGATGTGAGATAGTAAAACATAGACAAAAATATTAGGTAATCATTTTATCATAGGTATCTAGAGTTTTTTGACCTTACAACCTCAATATATCTTGGAAATTCGACTTGCCTCACAATGTTGGATTACAGTTGGATGAAAAATGTATAAAATGAAACTTCGTAGATATTCCCAAGGTCTTTAATCAAAATTCATTGGATGAGATTCTAATGGTCATTTAAAAAAATTCATTCTTTTGGTTTACTTTGTTTTGGCTGCTTTGATAACCTGATGAAACAATTTTTTCCCACAATTAGGTTGCTAATTTATAGGAAATTTATTTTAGATCACGAAAATGGTGACAGAAGTTGAGAAATGTCCAATTACAGTTGACAAATTTAATCTATCATGGCCTAACTCTGGTTTGCCATCCCTTAGACAATTTTTCTTTTCTACCAGACTTAGGAGTCCATAAGGACATTAAACTCATAAATCCTATCCAACACCCCCCATTTCTTGATTTCCTTATTTCCAGAAATAATAATAATACCTTATCCACCAATTGGTACACCAAGCCTACCTACTCCGGCCGTCTCCTAAACTATTTTTCCCAACATCCTTACCACAAAAAAATAAGTGTAGTAAAAAACCTGATACACCAGAGTCTAACACTAACCGACTCGCAATTCCATGACAATAACCTTACTAAACGACACAAAATCCTGAAATCCAACACCTTTCCTGAAGAGGTTATATATAGAAGGAAATGGCCAGGACACAATTTTGCCTTCAGGAAATTGTTTGGACTAGTAAGAAGGTAAAAATACTAAAAGACACTCCTAGTTGAGGAGGGGACGCTAAAAGGTCACTTTTTTCGGGTTTTCTTATCACTTTTTTTTATCAGGAAAACTATCCTTCATATCGACAAAGGCGTCCTCAACTATGGATAATTTTGGAAAAAAAAAAAAGTTTGGCTCCTGTTGATTGCTGCTTTCGGGTTTTTGCTTATATCAGGATAACTATCCACCGCATCAACTAAGAGGTTCTATAAAAAATTAAAGGTAATAAAAGTTTCAATGTGATTAATTATGTACCATTTTTCACTATCTCACTCAGTTTCCGAGATATCCGTCCTCAACTATCACTAATGTGACAAAAAAAATTTTAGCTCTTGTTTTTTACTCTATTTAATTAGCTAACTCTTGACTTCTTCGTTCTATGATATTAAGTTATGAGAAAGAAAGTTTTTAACAATTAAATTTTCTTCGAGAATATATATTATTTTACTAGTTTATCTTCAACGGTTCAAAAGTTAGATTAATTATAACTTTATACGTCAATTCCGAGAATTTTCAGAAAAAAAAATTTTATAATATACCTTATTGTTTGCATCTATTTATCTACTAATCAATAATATTTACAATTTTATTAGCTTCAATTTTTTTTAGAACGTTTTTGTCGATGCGATGGATAGTTTTCTTGATATAAGTGAAAATCCAAAAGAACTGATCCAGGTGCCCCGTCCCTACATCTGACTCACTACCTAGGAGTGGGGACTTTTAGTATATTTGCCTCCTTACTAGTGCAAGCAATTTCCCAATTATCGTATTGATAATTATTACTCTGTTTGTGACATTAAAAAAAAAACTAAATTGCTCACTTTATTTTATCATAGAAAAAAAGCGTCACATATCGACTTTTACATGCTCTCACTTAATGAAAAAAAAATAAAGATGATTAAAATAAATAAAAAGTCGTCCTAATCAACTTTTAAAAAATGCTTCTTCTAGAACATTATATTTGTTATTTAAAAGACTAAACAGACTTTCTTCTTGTATTGATTCCAGTATGCAATTGGTTGTCAACGAGTGATGTTCCATTTGCTGTTCTCTTCTGTCCTGATGATGTCTTTATTGGCGAAACGTTAATGGGTTTTTTTCTTTGTCTGCATTTTGGAGACATAAGGCTGTGTGGATGGAATTGTTACAATTATAACTTAATTATTATTAAAACTAATTAAATTATAATAATTTGAATTCACATAGTTCAAATTGTGTTGTGGAGTTTCCCAGCTCTCAGTTTAGTGCTGTACTTGTTAATGTCTACTGAACAATGATGTTCATTCCTAAAATCATATAATTAAAATTTGACTGTTCAAAGTTCTTAACAAATTATAATTTTTTTAAACTATTGAATTGTTTTCAGGAAGAGGATATAAAACGAGAAGCAGATATGGTTCTCTCCGATGTTACATTGAAGAAAGCTGAAGCTAAACGGATGTTGAACTTACTTAATGGATTAGCTAAATTACGAGCGGCCCGTATTAATAATTCACAAGAACAATCAATGAAGAAAACTGGAAGTGATGTCTTCAATAAAATTATAGGTATAAGATGCGATACTAAATAATTATATATTCTTCCCCATTATGAACTCTGCATTAAAAAATATCTGTTTTTTTAAATAAAAAATTTGCTTTATCTAAGATTCTTGTAATAATAAAAACACAGCTTTCATGGTAAAACATGCTAGGGGTAGACTGTACCTATCCCAAATTGCCAAATCAACCCCATGCATTTGTTCATTCATCAAGAGCCATTCTGAAGTTTCAGGTCATAAATATTATATTATATTATAAATGCCATCTATGATATATTATATTATATCATATTATAAATCCCGTCCTTCCACTCCTCCCATTGTATTGCCTAGTTTTTCATACTTTTAAATATTTATTGTTAGAGCGCCTGAAAAAGATGTGGCTTGAGCAAATAAAGGGTTATAATATGGAAGAACAAGGGCTAAAAGTAATGCTTGAACATGCTGAAGAAGAGAGGATGTCAGTAGAGGTAGCTGAATTTAGAAGAAACTTAAAATCTTGGAGTAGATGTATTTTTGGCTCTTCAAATGCTGGTCTTCCTCAATCTCTGGAGGAATTTATTCAGATAAGGTTTGATTTATTTTTTTACTTGTTATTCTGTAGTAGTAGTATGTTACATAAATATATTTTAATATTCAGCCTATCTAATATTATTAATGTATTATTATTTATAAATGCAGGCATGATTGGGATAAATTTATAAGAACTGAAGATACTCTGATGGCATCCAGTATTCCAATTGGTTGGGTATTCCCTTCAGAACCTTCTTCTGAGGAATGGAACAAACTTCTAATATAAAATTTGTTAAGCCTATTGTAACTCTGTTAATTTGTTATTTGTAATTAATGGGAAATAATATTATACTTTTAACTGATTTTATGTTTTTATTTTGTTCTATTTTAAGACACATTTATATGAATAAGAATATCGATCTAGTTGTTGATTGTGAGCCTCCAGAAGATCATAGTAGTACATCTCCCTATTTTATTGGATAATTACCTTACTTTAAAACCTGTTTAGTATGTATACAAAATCAACAGATCAATGATAGATAATAGTGCCATTAAAAAAGCACAGCAAAACAAACATATTGTATAATATTTTTCTTCCTTTCCATGTTTTAAAATCAACCAGCAATCTAGATTTTTTCTCTCGCATATTCCGATAAGTTCATATCAGCTATATTAACCTCTTAGCGAGGTTGAGTGGGAAGGCAGGAGCGGCCTTAAGAATGGCATTAGCTGACAATTCTCCATGCCCTTGTGGTGGTATACTTCTCATCATCTCTACTCACCATTTGAGCCTTTTTATTTAGGACATCGTTCCAAACTTATTTTTTGGAGTGTGAGAAGGTAGGGAATTCCAGAAAGAAACGTTCAAAGGATTTAGTTCTGTGGAAATTAGTATAGAGACCTGAAATATCCTGTTTTCTAAGAGTGAGTCAAGGATTTGAATTCTAGAAGACTGTAGATGTAGGAAGGGTGCCGGAAGTTGATAGTTTGATATATGAATGTTCCAAGGAGATTGTTGATGAGAAGAGGAAAGAGCCAATTTAACCTGCCATAGAGGTGAAAAGACACAAGACCTCTTCATTGTACCGAATATTCATCTTTTATGTGCCCTCGAGTACAATTAAGAGGACACTATAAACCACAAAGCCATAGTAAAAGTGGAGAAAAGTGAGTGAGGATACAAGGAGCTTGCGTGTAGATTGTGGAAGAAGATAATAGGAGCAATGGGATGACTTCAGTGAACCTATTGATTGTCGGGAAATATTGGCAATATGAGTTACTCAGGACAAGTTTGAGGAATGGAACAAACTTCTAATATAAAATTTGTTAAGCCTATTGTAACTCTGTTAATTTGTTATTTGTAATTAATGGGAAATAATATTATACTTTTAACTGATTTTACGTTTTTATTTTGTTCTATTTTAAGACACATTTATATGAATAAGAATATCGATCTAGTTGTTGATTGTGAGCCTCCAGAAGATCATAGTAGTACATCTCCCTATTTTATTGGATAATTACCTTAAGGAGCTGAAGATGATAGAATGATAATATAGGACTGGAATAAAATGAGAAATGACATAATGGATCTAAGCAGGAAATGGGAACCTATAATGATGGCCATGAATTTTCTTAACATTTAATCTTAATTTATTCTAGATAGCCCAGTCAGATCAGCATAGGAGCAAATTGAACAATCATGAAACCAAAGGAGGGGGGGGGGGGAAAGAAAGATTTTTCAGATAAAGACTGCTATTGGATTCAGAAAGAAGATCAGTGTTAAAATCGCCAGAAATTATTATATTATTGTATAAAGGAATATAGTGTGATGATGAGATAATTTAATAATAAATCACTTCAAAAAAAATAATCTTGAATAAACTAACTAATATAAATCAAAAAGTCTTTGAGTCTACTGAAATGGTAGGATTAGAATAATGTAATGTATTGCATGAAGATAAAAAGTTTTTTATTTCACAAGGGTTGTCAAAAAATTAAAAATGTTTATTTCAAATTTATATTACAATCAATAGAGACTATTTATACTTTTGTGACAAAGACATAATGAGAAGGTATACAAGAAAAGTACAATTTTTAAATAATAATTAAACTCTCAGGTGGTCAGTAGAGTTATGAAATTATTGATTTTATATAGATAATGTAATGAAACAAAATAAAGCAACAAATTAAAAACTATTAACATTGAGTTGATTATATATACACACACATTCATATGGGAAACACTGTTACAGCGTTAAAAGAATTAATGAAAAAGCTAAATGTAATATTTAAGGCTAAATTGAAAACAAAAAATATATTCATCAGTAAACAGAAAGTTACATGCTTCATAGAATTACAAGGGTAATGTTTTATAACAAAATAAATATGTAAATATCAATAATATTATAATATTGCACTTAATTCCATTTTGAATATTTTGGAACCTAAAAGGCAAACATCATACTTCCAGATTAATGTTTAACATACCAGACAAAGTGTATTAATAATAAATATTAAATTTAAACTTGTGGGTTCTGTTACAATGCTCATATATTAAATGACCTATGAGATACAAAATTATACTTAAATAATAAGACACACTAGATCTGTTCTGTTACTGTGACTACACTAAATCAAACTATTTATGGATGAAAAGTCATGACAAGGGAGAAAAGTTAACTTTCCTTAGTAATAAGAATTCATTGTTTAGAGATTTCTCTGATTAAGTTTATTTGTAATTTTTTTTATAAAATTAAATAAAGTTTATTTATAATTGAATGCATATATAAAACGGACAATAATTTTTTTAATTAAAAAATTTATTCAGATATACCAATTATTGAAAAAGAGTTTTGTCTCCTCCTAAATGGCTCAAAAAAAAAAATAATCAACAATTTTTACCTGTTCTATTAAGAAAATTTTTAAAACACCATTCCAAGTTTTCTTAATATATGTTCAGAGGATTGTGAACTCTTTGAATGTTAGTCGCGATACAGAGATTTAAAACACTAAACATCTTTAGATAACATTGAACCCAGATAAGTTCCTATGATTCTTCAAGAGAGACATTAACCACTATAACAGAGGTAGCCTTCAATATTTATATTTTTAACAAGTTTAAAATTAGAACATTTTATGTTAATGACTAAATTTATTTCAGTTATCAAGAACCAAGTCCAAATTTAGAATCATTATTAAAAAAGAAAAGTAAATTACCAGAATCTCAATTATTAAAAGGACCAGAAGCGACATATTTGATGTCCTTAAAAATTTAAGGAAAGTGTCCTTTGAAATATTTGATCACATTCTGCCACGAGGCCGAAGTAGTAACCAAGTGAATTGGGACAACACTCAGGGATCATAGAGTCAGATACTACACTAATTCCTATCTGGCTAGTATGTTGCATTGCCTTTAAATTTTGATATGACAGGAGATTAAATCAAAACTTAATATTCGGACTAAAATACATTGGTAGCATTCAGGATAATCCATTTTTGCCTTGCTGGTTAGAGTGAATGTGGCCTTAAATCTTATAAACAACATTCTGCTGTAACAATCAAGGAATCACTTTTTGAAAAATAATATGTATAAGAGGTGCAATGAACTAGAACAGTGATATTCTCTATATCAAAACTGAATTTGTTGTAGAGGATAGAAAGTTATTCATACTTAAGACCAATTTATTATTCAACTTAACATTAATAATTTTATACTATTAGAGCACACAATCATTATCATATGTCTTGGTTCCAATATACAAAATTCTGAGTATAAAATGATTTTAATATTACAAATTAAATTAACACTTCAATTCTTACTCGTATTATACCTTATCAGAAACCGATTCTAGTAAGTCTTTACATTCTCTTACTTCTTAATTTATTTGAAAAATATTTTATAGAGTACTTATAACTAAGAAATTATTTACAACCTTAATATAAAATGTCATTTCAAACATAGAAGAATGAAGTGCATATGCTCATGAAAATCTAGAGTAATCTATCTTGTGCACACTATTTTGCGTCTTAAACAAAAGCAAAGTGTTATAACTTATCAAAAGACCTGCATTTCATGCTCACGGATTATTTTATTAAAAGTACTTTTCTGAATTTGTGCATTTATACACAATCACAACCATTAGGTTTATTTTCAGATAAATGTATATGGACCATTCACACAGAAAGGGTCAAACACTGAAGGCTATTGCTATTTCCAATCAGTAATTTCATACTCAAAAGAGGTATACCAATAAATTATCAAAGCTCATCTACATTCAACATTAGTTAATAATTTGATAAAATAAATGAAATTTACAAAAATTTAAGTTTCAAATTTTGTAATGTCACTCGTTCACCTTGTTCAGATCAAACCTTCCTGACTTCGCAGATATCTAAATGACTCAAGTAGTCGCATTAAAATTTTGATCCATTACTTAATATTAAGGTTGTTTCTATTTCAATGTAAGATGAATTAGTTTAGTGCATTAAATAAATTATTAAATAACCCTTGCAGTAACCCTGTCATTTTTTCCTGATTAAAAAAAAAAAATTAGTAAGTTCCTATCAGGATTAGTACTACAATTTTTTCTTATTTTGACTGCCAATTTTTACTTTCACTTACTTATATATGTAATATATTGCAAGGGTAAGTATTACAATCGTGAAAATTTTCAAATCTGAGTTTTCAACGGAAATACACGCTTTGAGGTCCCCTGAATCCAAATAACCAAGTCCCAAAAAATGGTCTGTGTGTGTGTAGGTATATGAACAGCCTAGCTCAAAAATGAAAAGTCGTACGAAACTGAAATTGCGTATTTGAGGTTTCTATCGGCCTGAAATGTTACAGGACAATTTTTGGAAAACCAGAAGTGGTACTTTACATCAGCGATTTAACACATTTTTATGATTTTCTCAAAAACGGCTGTAACGATTTTGATTAAACTAAGTATATCAGTGTATTATTAAGCAGTTGTTAATATAATGTAGGTTTTATTCTCCTTGATATTCTCTAACAGGGTTTATATGGCTAATTTTCAATATTAGCTTTGTCTAAAGTACCTTTAATTTTTTTATTTGAAATAATTAACCATTTCACATTATTCTTTTATATAAAAAATAGTTAAATATAAAATATGAAAGAATTTGATAATTAACTAAAGGAGAAATAAGAGATCGTAACAGATAATAGTTGTAATGGAGGAACCAAAGGAACAAGAGCTCGCCCAAAAGATTAGTACAGGCTTCCATATGTAACATAAACTTAATATAATACAGACTCCGACAATATTATATACATAAACATATGCAGTCTTCATAAATGCTATTGTTGATATTATTCAATATTTGATTGTATAAATTAGTGGTATAAAAATTAAAATTTGTGTATATAAGAATAATTAAACAAATAAAAATATCCACAATGAAATGTAAATAAATATAGTGTCTATAAGTTCTTACTTTCGCTTCTACTTTGTCTGAAAACTCTTATTTCTGCTAAGAAGAGGGTGGTATGTGATAATTATGTGATGTGTGCACCAGATTTTTCATTGTAGTATGTATATACTAATGTTTCTATTATTTTTACTTCCCTTATGAATGAACGTATATGGAGCATCCTAATACATCTGTGAAGTTTTCCTTTTTATTTTGTCAAATAAACAGAATTATTATAAATTTGTATAATGACACTGAATTAAAAAGAGAAAAATTGGTGTTCATAACCACTACTATTTTTTAAGAGTATAGTGACATAGATATAAAATCAATTTCAAAGGGAGACTAAGACGGAATCAGTGAGGATAACTTAATTTTTCTTCCAAAACTACGTCTTTATTCAAGTAATAATTCAATTATTCAAGTGAGACTGAGTTTATCTAATTTTATACTCAAATACCCAACAAATAAGTCTTCTAGGATCCCGAGAACAGAACCTGTCTCTACACAGTTTGAGTTTGTGTTTGTTCTGTACCATTAAGTGGTAACCCATTGGTTAAAGTGACAAGATTAATCCCACTTATAATACAATGCAGTTGATTTTTAAAAATTAAATACCTAAATAGTTCACATCTTATTCACTTGTCAACAGTTTATTCTGCAGTGAATTCAATAATAAAGAAATGAAAAATATATTTATGTATTAACAACAAAAGTACTAATGAATGTACATATGTAGAATAAGAAAATGTTACATTGAAAAGTCATTAGAATGAACTCAATCTTATGGATGAACATTCTTTTCATCCATAATTTATATTTATTGTTATTGCCTTAAGGTAAATTAACTGCCTAAGAATTACCTGGATCAATGTCGAAAAA